CGCCGCCTCACCCGCCTTCCGCCGCCCGCGTACATGAACACCTCGCGCCCCTCGCCAAAGACGATCCTGTGTGTGGCGCACTGGTCGTGCGGCCTCCTGCCCACTAAGAAACCGTTAATTGCATCCGGGTCATACATCCCTTCGCACTCCGGCCGACCCGGTCGGTAGAGGTACTGCGGAGATCCCATCGAGTAGAGTCCTTCGATTTGCTTGTTTAGCTCCGATGGGTAAGGCTCCCACACCCCATTCGCCTCGTACTCCCAGATCGCCTCCGACGGCGTGGCATTCCCTGCATCGTTGTCGCTGGCCTGCATGCGCTGCTTGTGCGCCGCATGCGCCGCGCCAGCCCGCGCCCGGGCAGCAGCGTCCTCCGCGGCGGAGGCGACGCGCAGTGGCTTGATTGGCTCTGCAAACACGTCCGTTTCCTCCGTCTTCCCACCCCCGTTCCTGCCTTGCCTCCCCTGCTCCAAAAGGCGCAGGTTGACCGCTCGGACCAACATCGGGGCGCCATCGCCGACGGGCAGCGACACAGGGAAGCGCAGGCTGCCATCGGCCCCGCGACGAAAGGGGGCGGCGATCGTTCCCTGCTGCCCGTTGAGCTCTGGACGCGCCGCGAGCCCGGCAAGCTCCACACGCGTGTGCGGCGCGAACAACGGCGGAGAGGCGAGGATCCGCTCGATCGCGCGCTCGCGCGCCTCATCGCCCAAATACGAAGCCAACACATCCGTCATCTGGTCCACTCGAGGCTGGTCCAGCACCCTTGCGCTCACCGCAGCTTCGCACACCGCATCAAAGGTGCTCTCGGCCATCGATGTGCTAGAGTTAGTGAGGTCGTCGGCGGGGCCATCGAGTACCTCCAGCAGCCGGCTGCCGCACAGCGTGATGCCTTGCGCCCGATGCAGTGCCTCGAGTCGCTGCTGGGCGTCGGCGCCAACGCCGCGAAGCGCTTCTCGCGCGCAGCCGTGTGCCGCGCACAGGCCGTCGAGCGCAGAGGCGGCAGCGGAGGCGACGTCCTCGAGTGGCCCGCCTGGGGCGGCTCCGGTCAGAAGGCTCAGCCGATGCACGCAGGCAGGGAAATGGCGCGAGGAACAGAGGCGAAGAGAAAGCTCCGTGCCCCACTTCGTGGAGGGCGGTGAGGCGATTACGTCGACGAGCGTGACGGCCGGGCCGATGACGAGAGCGTACGCGGGCGTCGACTGCCTGCTTCGGCAGCGTGCACGCGCAGGCGGGTTGAGCGCGCTTGGAGGCACGAGGGCGCCCGAGGGGGGGCAATTCCGAGAAAACCCCGTGCTGTGTTGGCAAATCATTCCCATCCCTCCCTTGGGTTGTGTGTTTTCTTTCTTTCTTTTCTCTTTTCTGGTCCATGATTTCTGGACGTACCTATTCTTTTTCTGGAGCTAAGCCTCGCCGTCGCAGGAGTCGCTTAGGCGGCTCCCGTGGTGTACCTGTGTTTGTGCCAGTGCGCGCCAGTGGTCCCGTGCCAACTATCATCTATCTATCTCGCTTCTCTCTCGTGGGCTCTCGCCAAGCCAAGCCCAAGGCACCGACAGCCACCATGCGGATTCGAGTCAAGTCCGTCACGGTGGTGGTCCGCTTATTTCTGAGAGAGAGATTTTTTAGCAATACCATTTGTGTTTGTATTTCTGTGCGCTGGCCTATAAATCTGGTCGCGCTGTAGAACGGGACTCAAGGGACAGGCAGGTGTGGGTGTGTGCTCGTGGTGATTAGCCGTGTTTAGAGCACGATGCGGCGCAACACGCGAGTATTTCGCTTGCGCGCACACTTTTGCGACGGCTAGCGTCGGCTAGCGACAAACCTGTGAAGAGTGGCGTGGCGGTGGATGGCCGAACCCTAGGCCGAACCAGCCGGACGGAACCGCGCAAAAGAATTTTACGCGCCCACGATTCACGCGACAGGCAAAGACTCTCGGATTCTCGAGGTGGTTATCCTTTGGCCGCGTTGGGTAGCGAGGATTGGTGTAAAGAAAGAAAGAAAGAAAACAGACAAGCCAAGGGAGGGATTGGTGTGTGACGCGATTCGCGATCCACGCAGGCGTGTTTTCTGACAAACTGCGAAATTCTTTTGTTCGTGCCCAGTGTCGTGCGAGGGAGTTTTGTTGTCAAACTCTTTTAAGAAAGAAAGAAAGAAAACACACAACCCAAGGGAGGGATGGGAGAAACTCTTTTGTCCAGTCCCGTGCCCGTTGTAAAATTCTTTTGTTCGTTTTACTCGTACTGATCTGAGCGCACTGGTACCCGGGTATGCGGCCTGTTGCTCCTGTCCACACGCTGGCGCAATGGGACCGGATCTCTGCCGCTTGCTCGCGGGAAGCTGACGTGACACTCCCCGTGCCCCGCATGCTTGTGCCAATGACGGAGACGCAATCCCCGGCTGCTCCTGTGGACCCGGTCTTTGGTCTGGTTTACATGGTCAAAGCGGGCAGCGGCACGATGGCGCGCCAGCTATTGAACTTTGCAATACCATCGGGGTGGCCCGTTTCTAATGCTGGCGTAAAGGCGCAGAACAAAAGCGTAAAGTTCGCCGAGCATGGGCAGTTTTATCGCTCACGGTATCGGGTTGTCTTGGGATCCGCGACCTTGAGCAACTTGCACCTCGTAGGTCGCCCAGAGATGGTGATCACCACCCTGCGCGAGCCGGTGGATCGAGCCATCTCGCTATTCAACTACAACTGCGTGTGCAACATCGAGAACAAGGTCAGGAGCGCCAATTGCACCGACACATTCACCGCCTACGCGAGGATGGAGGCCACCACCGTCATCAACACTCTGCTCCGAGGTTCGGGCGACGACACGTACGTGGAAGAGCGCGGTAGAGGCGGCCTGGCACTCCAAGCGCTGAGGTGCTTCAACAGGTCCTCGCCAGAAACCTCGACGGGGCTGGAGAACCTGCTCCTCGAGCTGCTACAGGTGCAGCTGATGGCGCCCTGTGTCAGCGTGCTGCCGCTGCACGAGCTCCAGCACTCGCTCTCGCTGCTCAACGAGCGCTTGCGTCCTTATAACCTATCGCTGGACGAGTACGCCCCCAAACACAACAGCCTGTACACCCACCGATGCTCGGAGGGCCAGAGAAGCTCAGGGAAATGTCAAGCGTGCCCAAAGGAGCGCATGGCCATGCTTCTCGACCCGGGCGACCACGCCGTGAGAAATGCAATACGAATGCAGACCACGTCGGAGCCGGTTGTGCGAGTCTCCCATCGGCTCTGGGACTGGTTCAATCGGAGTCACGAGAGTCTCCTGCGCAGGCGGGCGGTGCCTTGCGCAAGCCTGCTGAGCAAATGGAGTCCCGCGGGCAGAGAAGAAACTTGAGATTTCGCCGGCCGGCTCTATAAATAAATAAATAAACCGGACATCCCAAGCTAGGGCTGGGTCGAGGACAGACACGTCCCCACCTTTGCAGGATTTTGCAAAAGCGAGGGGGGAGGGCGCATCGCGGCGCGGAGAGGGCTGGGCACGGGCACAGGGGATCTCTCTCGCATAGGATACGCACTCGGCGGCACGAGGGCAAGGCTGGGCGTCCTATTTGTGCTCCCTCCGTTTCCCTCGCTCTCGGGCACTATTCATCTGACCACTCATCAGAGGGGCTTCTAGGCGATCGGCCGCGCTCCGGGGCAGGGCTGGGTAGGATGGGCTCGGGCCACTCGCCCGTGCGGGTGTATCCCCGCATGAGCCGGATGGAGGCCTCGACTGTCCCTCGCGGCAGGCTCTCGAGCAGCTCGAGCAGCTCTCCCGCCGCCACCGCCGCGTCGTACTGCTCCTTCAGGCCGAGCGCGCCGCAGACCCTGCGGACCGCCTCCTGCTGCACCTCGTCCGGTAGATCGGTGTCATAGCCGGAGGAGTCGGCGGAGGACGCCCGCTTGGCGGGCGGCGAGTCCGGTGAGGGAGAGCGCGACTGGCGCGAGGGCCCGCCGCCGCGCGCCGACAGCGCGTTCTTGTCGACGAGCCGGGGTCCAGCATTGGCGCGGCCGCTGGCACTGCGGCCCTTGCCGCGCTGCTGCTGCCCGCGCTTCCTTCCCGGATTAGGGACAGTGAAAGTGCAGCCGCGCACTCCGCCGCCGCTGGGCGGCGGCGGCACGCGCGCGGCGGCGGCCGGGCCCGCAGGCGCGGCGGGCTGGCCTCCCGCGGTGGCACCCTGCGGGTGCAATGCGGCTGCGGCGGCGTACGTCATGCTGGTCGCCGGCTCCGCAGCTGGCGGCTCGGCGGCAGGGGCTGGCGGCGCCGCAGGGCTCGCGCTCGCAGGCGGCTCCGTGGCCTGCGCCTGCCGCTCATGGCGGACCGCGCGCTCGAGCTGTGAGTGCGGGTGGAGCTGCACAATGACGTCGCCGCTCTGCGTCGCGGTGAAGGAGACCGAGTACGGCGCGTCGCCGTCGTTCTTCTTCTCCGCGTAGACGAGCGCGTAGTCGCACACCTGTCGTTGGTGGTCAGTGAATATGCTCTCCGTGCAGCGCTCGGCGGCGCCGACGCGAGCAAAGTGCCGCTTGAACGCCCATGCGTCAAACTTGTCAAAGATTTTTGGCCGGCTCTGTCTCTCTTTTCTGGAGGTGTGGTTCATGTTTGAGAACTATTGGGTCCGCTCACGGGCGAGCTTTGTTTGATCCATCCCAATCGGCCGTACACACAAAGACTACAACCTTGTACTCCAGTACAAAAGCCCCGCGTGCAACTCTTTTCTCTTTGATGCCCTACCTAGCTACCCGGGTACCCGGTAGGCAGCCAGTCGATCGGGGCGCGGACGACGCTTCCCAGGGAAGCACTCACGCGGCCTGCCACCATGCGGATTCGAGTCAAGTCCGTCACGGGCGAGGAGGTTGAGGTCTCGGTGGCGGACGACGGATTGGTGGCCGAGCTCAAGGCCGCGCTGGTGGCAGCACGAGCGGAGTGGCAGCCATCGTCGCGTCTCCGCATCGCGTGCAACGGCGCCATGCTTGACGACGCATCGCCCCTGGCGGATGCGGTGAATACAGGCGGCCGCTTCATCGTCGTCGTCGGAAGTGCTCCGCCGGTCACGCCGCAAGCACCGCCCGCCGATGTGCTGCCCGCGGTGCCGCCACCGTCGCTCGACGAGCTCTTCAGCCTCGCATCGCCGGCGGCGCTGGGCGTGCTGCTCAAGCTTGCGAGCAACGTGCTGGGTGCGCCGGACGAGGCCAAGTTCCGCAGGGTCCGCCGCGGCAACCAGATGGTCGCTGGCAAGGTGCTCTGCCACGCCAAGGGAGAGGTGTGGCTGGCGGCACTTGGCTTCGAAGCCGCGCCCGCCAGCGCGGGCGGCGTGGAGGCGGCGGACGAGGACATTCCCCTCGTGACCACCATCTCTGCGGCGGCGTTGCGCCCGGTGCATGCGGCACTCACACGGGCGGTCGACGGGGCGCGGCCGTCGCGCGTCTGCGTCGCCAAGGGATGGGTTGTGCACGGGCTGTGCATCGAGCTGGGCGACGGCTCCCGCTGCGGCGCCTTCCTCGAGAATGACGGCAGCCGGATGGACCTCACCGACGACGCCGGCCTGGCCCGCCGCGGCGGCGCATGGCACGAGGCGGAGGCGGGCGAGCGGCTCGTGGCGGTGCGCGGGCGGAACTCGGCGATGGGGTACTTGTGCGGCGAAGTCCACCTGGTCCTGTCGTCGGGGCGGACGCTGCCGATCGTCGGCGAGAACGCCAGCGTGTTCGGCGCGTCCTTTGAGTATGCCGTGCCACCGCTCGACGAGCTTGCTGACATCCTCTTTGCCGACGGAAAGTGCGTCGGGATCACGCTACGCTCCGAGGCGCTCCAACGGCAGGCGGCCGCCACGCAGTCCGCCAACCCGCAGGGCGCTAAAAGTCCTCCTCCGCCGCCGGCCGAGCTCGAGCGGCCACGCGTCCTCCATTCCGTCGCGCAGCTCCACTCTTGGGCCGCTGCGCGCGCGACGGAAGCGCCGCGGCCGCGCGCGCCCACCGCGCCGACGACTGCGCTGCCCAAGAGGCCGCGCGCGCTGGCCTGCCACGACTGCCGCGGCGGGTACAACCCTCTCGCCGACGACGAGTACCTGAACTGCTTCCGCGGGTGGGAGGCCGTCGACGTGTTCGTCTACTTTGGCCACCACCGCGTCTCGATGCCGCCCCGCGTGTGGGTGGAGGCACGCCGCCCACGCGGGCTAGCCTTCGAGGAACCTCCCAGGAGCCTCCGAGGAGCCTTCTAGGACCCCTCCCCACTAGGCATGCCACGCGCGCAGTCTGCCGTGCCTCGGCACGCTCATCGTGGAGGGAGACGCGCCGAGCGAGGTCGGCGCGCTGCTGGGCGACGTGGATGCGAGCGTCGAGAAGCTCTGCGCGCTCTGCGACCACTATGGCTTTGACGGCTGGCTGGCTCGAGGACCTTCCAGGAACCTTCTAGGAACCTTCTCATAGGCGACCACTTCGGCTTTGACGGCTGGCTGGTCAACCTCGAGGCGGCGGTGCCCGGCGGGGTGCACGCCGCGCGCACGCAACTCGCCTCGCGCCCCTCGCGCCCCTCACCCCTCTCGCGGCTCGCAGGCGGCGGGGATGGGAGCGGTGCACGAGCTGCTCGAGCTGCTCACGGTCTGCCTCAAGCAGCGGGTCGGCGAGCAGGCCCACGTGCGAATGCACGGCTCCCTCGACCTCGAGCCGTCGGGGAGCCTTCCAGGAACCTTCTCATAGGCCCTCGTCCTCGTGTACGATTCCCTCGACCGCACCGGGCGCGTGCGCTACCAGAACAGCCTCGCCCCAGACAACAAGGCCGCCTTCGACGCGTGCGATGGCCTCTTCACCAACTACTGGTGGGGCGCGAAGCAGCTGGCGCAGTCTGTGGCCCTCGCCGGCGCGCGACGGTGCGACGTGTATGTTGGCGTCGATTGCTTCGCGCGCAACACTCCATATGCCGCCGGACCGGCTTGCGCGCCTGCGTGCGCCGCGGCTCGTGCGGCCGGCCTCTCGCTTGCTCTCTTTGCCCCTGGCTGGTCCATCGAGTGCGGCGGGGCGCAGTGCGCGTCGGAGGACGCGGACGCGGCGGCGGCGGCGGACCGCCGGTTCTGGGAGGCGCTGGGGTTGAAGCGACTATTTCGCGATTGAGGGGGGAGTGTGGGGGAGATATATATGTTGTATCTAGAGCAGCAACAGAATACACTTATCACTGTGGGACTTCGCGTCCCCCGTGGAATATTACCGCTCCTTGATCCTGAGCGGTTCACCGCGGAGCTGGTGGTGCTCGTGCTGCTGGCGTGGTGCAGCACTGCGCTACGATCACAAAAGTGAACCGATCATCTCTATGACCTGTCCGGGCCGGGTCTGCAAAAAAAGCCCGCACGTGCACCCGAGACGCCCGGAGAAAACAGAAGGCCTTTCAGCTGCGCGAGGGGATGCACTGGCTTGAGCCCTCCTCCTCCTCCTCCTACTCGTCCTCCTCGCTCTCGTCCTCTTCTGTGTCGGACAGCGGAATGACCTGCGGCATATCGCCGTACACGCGCATGTCAACGAGCAGCATGCCCGCACTCGCATGCCCGCCCAAGTCGGCCGTCGCCACCGGCAGCTGCTCCTCGCGCGTGCCGCCGGGCCAGCGCGGCGCGTCGGCCGACTCGCGCGCGAGCGGCAGCACCCACCCGCCGTTCCGCCCCTCGTCGTCGTAGTTGCCGCCCGCCGCGCGCTCGTCGGTGGTGCGGTCGCCCGTGGGCGTCATGCGCCCGGCGAAGCCGCCGCCGTAGAGCGCCACGCGCGGCTGCACGAGCGAGCGTGCGTCGGCGCAGCCTTCGACCGGCACGGCGACGACTCCGAATGCGGCGCAGCCGAGCGGCGTGAAGCCGTCGACGCGCACGCCCAGCCCGGTGCCGCGCAGATCGATCTGCGCCTGGCCGCGGTTGGGCGAGGTCGCGCCTCCGTGCCCCGCCGCGTCGCGCGCGGTCGCAAACGGAAGCTCGCTCAGCTGCAGCGTGCGCCGCCCGTTCCAGTACGACTGGAGCACCTCACCGGCCGAGGTGGCAAAGGTGAAGTCGTCCGTCTTGACCGTGAGCGACCACGGGCAGATGCGCAGTTTGCTGAAGCTGCTCACGAGCACCGTGCCGCGCGCCGCGCCGCCGGGCGGGAAGTACGACAGATTGGTTGACGGGTTGCGCAACGAGACAAACTCGGTCGGGCGCGCGCTGAGGACGTTGTGGCAAAAGAGCTCGAGTGGCGGCTGGGACCGGTCGCCGTGCGCCCAGAGGCGGTACTCGCCGTCCGCGCCCGACGGCTCGTCCGCGCCGCCCTCGATGCGGAGCTTGACCGCCACGTCGCGTGCGCATGCCGGAGTGAGCGCGCGCAACGCGAGGCAGATGCCGCGCCACTCGTGGCACACCTCGCCCACTCGGTCGAGCTCGCCCGCGCTGATGAGGCACCCGGCGGCCACCGCGCGCGTCGTGCTGCGCGAGAGCAGAGGGAAGATGTGGAGGAGTACCACGTCTGCCGGAAGCGACAGCTGATCTCCGAAGGCGCACGTGCCACCGGTGGCTGCGGCATTGGCAAAGGTGCCCGAAAGCAGCTCGCGAGCCTCGGCTGTGGTCGCAACCTCCACCGTCGTGCGGTGCTCGCGGAGCAGGAGCAGGTTTTCTGGCCGCACGCTGATTGAGATGGGAACCCGGAGGCCTCTCTGAGGATCGGCGAGCACCCGGACGACCCAGCGCTCGGACGACCCAGCATCGACGGTCGCCGTGAGGCCGTTGAGCCTGCGCCCTCGCTCATTCGTGAGGCCAGTGAGGGCGACGCGTGAGCCGATGGCGATGTCCATCGGACCTCTCGGGACGGCGAGAGCAGAGGAGACGATGGCCGACCGGGGCCCGGGGGGGGCGGGGCCGATTGGCGCAAAATAAAGGCTCTGCGGGTTCAACGCTATTCTTAATTTATATTCGGCGCTGCCTACGTACCTACCTACCTACACCACAGTTCTAAACAGCGTCTGGCACTACGCCGTTGTCAAATCCAGAAGGCAGTCCGAGTGGGTGCTCAGCTGGCGGCGGCTCTGCTACTCTCTGGCGCTTTCGCTGAATCGCCTCCTCTCGCTCTTGCTCCTTGCGCTCCTCCTCGATCATCCACTGTCTGCGGATCTCGTGATACACCTCACGCGACTGCCGGGCGATGTCGTCGCTGCGCGCGACGAGCAGCATCTCCTCGTACGAGGCGCCGCAGATGCACACGTAGCGCTGCTCCCACTTCTGCGCCTTGGCCGAGAGCCCCGCTTTGAAGGCCGCCTCGCTATTCGGCAGATGAGGCGCAAAGACGCCCTTTTCGCGTGCGATAGCCTCTGTGGCTGGCGAGTCTCGCCGCGGCCTCACGCGCACGCACACCGGCTGCAGGGGGCGGAGATGGTGCTGGCCGCACGCCAGCCGCTGCTGCTCGAGCCCAAGCCGCACGTCGCGGCTAGAGCGGAGGCACGGCGACTGCGCCTGATGCTCTTTGTACTGCTCGTTCCAAACGGCAAAGTAATCCCGCCCTGTGCGCTGCACGATCGGCTCGACGATCTGCTTGAACTCGAGATACTCGTCGTACGGTTGGGGGATGCAGTTGTCAGGGAAGCCGCCAACGGGCACTCGCCAAAAGGGCAGCACAAGCTCGCGCGGCTGGCGCGGCGGCGGCGGCGGTGCTGCGCTCGAGGCGGCGGCGTCGCTCGGTCGGATGTCGGTGCTGCGCGGAAAGGCGTCGATGCCGAAGACGTGCCGGGTCTCCCGCCAGCACTCGACGAGCTGCGAGATGTGCCACGTCTCATGCACGCTGAGTACGGCGACCAGGACGCGCTCCGGATCGTCGACGGTGCACGGCACGCCGACCTCGAAGCACCAGTCGTGTGTGCAGCAGCGGCGGAACTCGAGGTGCTCCTTGAGCCAGCCAAGCGCGGGCGGGGCATACGGGTTGGAGTTGCAGCTGTTGCCCAGGAGCAAGAGCAAGCGAGAGCGAGCGCAGCAGCGTGCAGACCTGCGCGACCTCCTCGGCAGTCGCGCCCTCCACGACGTCCGGCTCGCGGAAGCAGTAGTCGGTCGCCCATGGCATGACGAGGAGGCGCGGATCCTTCTCGCCGAGCAGGTCCGCCGGCGCGTTGCCGCCGTTCGGGTCGTACGTCGTCCGGAAGGGCCGATGTACCCAGCTCCGCGAGCCGTCCGGGTACGCCACGAAGGCAGCGTCGTCGTCGTCATGCCGCCGCGACTGCGCGTCGATGCGGAAGCAGTTCTTGTTGTACAGCGTGGCGCCGTCGGCGATGACTTCGGCCTTGCGCGCCTCGTACTCGAGCGTGCACACCAGCTCCTCGATGAGGCCCGCTGCGATCTGCTCGGGCGTGGGCGGCGGTGGATGAATGATCTCGGGGCGCCCGTCGCGCTCCCAGCGGCGCCAGAAGCGCATCTCACGCCGGTCAGCCCGAGACCGGCACAAGCTGAGCTGGAGCTTAAAGTCGTCGTCTTCGGACGACTCGTCGCCCGACGACGGCGGCGCGCGGAAGCGCTTCGCCCACTGCCGCAGCCTCCGCCCTCGCACATCCTCGCGAGCCGCGCGCGGCGCACTCACACGCGTGTGGCGTGAGCAGATCTGATCGTCCGCTGCACGCCGCTGCTCCACGCGCGAGCGCCTGGCCTGCTGATCGGCCGCAGCCGTCTCGGCCCACTGCTGCGCCTCCTCTGCCCTCTCCTGCTCCTTCTCTCGCTCTCTTTGCGCATCCGCGCGCAGCGCGCGACGGGGCCAGCGCCCCGGGCATTAGCGCAAAGCGTGATGCCGTCCCGATCGTACCGGCGGCAGACCTCGACGATGGCGCTGAGCAGGGACCGGCACTCGGAATCAGCGGTGTCGGCGTCCTCATTGGCGTTGCCGACCCCCTCAAGAACCTCGGCCTCACCCATGTCCGTGATGACGGCGCTGCGCATCGCGCAGACGATGGCGTTCAGCGCGGCGTCGACGTCGGATCGGAAAGACGCACTGGTCAGCTCGGAGAGGAACTTGTGGAGGAGCGCAGTAAGCTGTGTGGGATTGAGCCGCTCGTCCTCGAGCCAATCGTTGGCCCGGGTGAGGCGGAGGTAACGCCGCCGAAAGTCGGAGTGGACCCGTCCACTCTGAGTGCCAAAACCAGCAGCTAGAAAAGGCTTGACGCCGACAGTCTCGAGGACGATCTTCTGGAGCTTCGGCCGAACTCCAGCAATGGTGGAGCGGATTGCAGCCAAAAGGGCAACGGAAGTGCCACCAGCGCCACTGATCCTGTCGGCCTTTTCGCGGTAGATGGCCCGCAGTGCGTCGTCGGAAAAGAAGGCCTTGAGAAGCGCCTCGGTGACAAGGTTGTCGATTCGCTTGATGACGCGTTGGGAGACGACGATCTCGGCCACAACCGCAGCCTGTCTCTCAGAGACCGTCTTGTGGACAGTTCCGACCTGCGCAAAATCATCGGCGGTGGGTGACTGACTGTCATCGGCGACGAACTCGAGCAAGTTGGCAAAGTCACGCGTCTTGAGCAGCTTCAGCTCGTAGCGCGCGCAGCGCACCGCATCGTGTTGGGTGCAGCAAACAGTGGGCGCAATGTTGTCGATGTAGACAGCGCCATTTGTAATGAGGAAGAAACCGATGCCGTCGTTGTGATGCAGCCGGCTCCACTCGAGAAGAGTGGCTAGGTTCGCCGCAAGCCCGTCGAGGGCGGCGGCACGGACGAAACTGCATTCCGTCACCATTGCATCAGCTTCTTGTTTAGCGCCATGTAGGAGATCCCGAATTTCGGAATACTCCAAGGCTTTGGTGGGCGTGTCAGGCATGGCCTGAGCAGTGGATAGCGTGTCGGGCTTCACAAAGGGGCTGACGCGACCAGTCGAGTCGCTGCCACGTGCAAGCCCCACCCGGGTGGCGGGTGGACCAAGCAAGGGGCGTTCCGCCCTGCTTGCTCTAGGTGAAACGTCTGAAGGACGAAGAAAGCACGAAGGTGCGACCAACTCAGCACGACGGGCGGAGAAGACGGGCACTAGACCAGGAAGGACTGGGAGAGCGTGAATGGAGGGACACGTGTGGTTCAGACGCTCAGCACGACGGGCGGAGAAGACGGGCACTAGACCAGGAAGGACTGGGAGAGTGTGAATGGAGGGACACGTGTGGTTCAGACGAGCGGCCGATAGCCGCGGCGAAACAAGCGCGCCATGCACTTTTGCAGGAGCACTTGGAGTACTAGGAGGACCACGCACTTTTAGAGGAGGACGCGTCCGGAACAAGGGTACGAGGTCGTACTTGAATTCCGCGCGGTCACTGCCCCGATAAACAGGTTGCTGCCAGCCCTGCCGCCCGATCACAGGCTGCCGGCTAGCCTCACTTGCCCTGCCAGCCTTGCCCCACACCGCGCCGATCGCGGCTGTCGCACCCATGCCGCAGGAAGTACAAAATGCTCCTCGCATCCGCCGCCCTCTCGTTGCCTGTTGGAGGCTCTCGCGGGGTGTGCAGCCACCGACAAGGACCAACGGTGGCCGACAAGCTCAACCAGCTCAACGAGGCGACCGGCAAGGAGTGCCGCGACAAGGGCCTGCCCGCCTACGCCTGCTCCGGCTTCTTCATCCACGCCATCGAAGGTGGCCTCGGAAACAGCCAGCTCGGCCTCGCGGACAAGGGTGTCACGATTAAGCAGGTGATCAGCCCGCTGTCCTCCCCATTCGATGTGGTAAAGAATCCGCTCAAGCTGCGCCTCGACTGCTCCGGCTACATCGGCGCTGGTGAGGACCTGGGCTGCTTCAACCACACGGACAGACTTGCTAGTGAGACAGAGTTCACCGCGCTCGGCGGCAACGACAACACTTTCCAGACGGGGTGGAACGGTGTCGAAGGCCGCGGCGATGCGCAGCGTTGCCCGAAGGACCTGAACGCCAACTTCTACCCGGCCTGGTGCCAGACTCCGAAAGCGCTGAAGGTTGGTGGAACCAGCTTCACCTTCAATCGCCGGGACCTCACCCCGACTGAAGAGGAGGGAAAGACGAAGCCCTTCCCAATTGCAGCTCAGCGACACCAAATGCACCGAACGATGCACCAGACGGACCCTACGGGTGTGCCAATGTCGGCGGCGGCGCCTTTGTCTTCCCCTTCAACGCAAACCCGCTGCCGTTCGGCGGCCTCGTTCTCTCTCCGGGGCTGAATAAGAACCCCAAAAGCGTCGAGGAGCAGCTTCCCTTCTTCGCCGAGACAATTAAGCTCCTCTCACCGCAGGACGCCAACACCTTCAATCGCGCGGCGTGCGCAGCTGGGCCGGGCGTGGGGGAGATGCTCCTCGCGAATGCCACGCTCGACGCCTTTGGCGGCGCGCCAGGCACCATCACAGTGGAGGACATCCATGCGACTGACAACTGCAACCTTACGATGGGGACGAACACCTGGCTGCCCGGGGACCTTACGGCCTTCTGCCCCGACACAACTAACGCTGAGAACTACTGGGAGCACTGGGAATCCAATGTCATGGCCGCCCTTGAGTCGCTCTACCGCATCGGCGAGGCGGGCGGGCATGGTCTAGCGACCAACGCCGCGGGCCAACCCACCCGTTTTGGGGATGCAAAAGAGCAGGCCGTCTCGCTCTTCTGCGACCTCTTCGGAACGGTCTCTCCCCCCCCTGATCTTGTGCCGGAATGCTTCCAGAACAAGTGCGTCCGATCCGAACAAGTACTGCTTGATCGTGCAGCATGGGCTGGAATTCCCAGCGACATGCAGCCTGCTGCCGGGAGCGTCTTCCGCGCCAATGGTGCGTCTACAACCAATTTCGACAGCCTCGCCCTCTGCATGCTTCGGCCGACGCAGTTTAGCATCTTTGAGAAGGTGACGAACTTTAACGAGATCAGCAAGCTTTGGAAGAGCATCCCCAAGCAAGGCTTGAACAACGAGGTCATCATGAACTGGGCGGGCCGCGAATTCACGGACCTTGCGCCGCACACAGCCATCTGGGCGCCGGCGGCCACCAATTACATTAAAGCAGGAAAGACGCCGGCGCAGGCTGCGATCATGTTCGACGACGGCGTGCGCGGCGCCTACCAGGTCGCCGAGAGCTACCGCAAAGCGACTGGCATGTCGCTGCCCGTCGTGGTCGTGAACCAAGAGGGACAGCTGCGGGACTCCAAGACGCCGATGTTCAGCTGCGCTGAAGACTACTTTCAGCCAGAGGGCTTTGAGGTGGGCACCCCGTTCGACACATCCATCGGCGCACCCCCCCTGAAGTGAGCGCGGAGCATGTTCAAGCAACCCTTCGCGCCGATTCTGGTGACTTGGAGTCAACTCAACCCAGATCGACACCAAAATGTGTTCAATACGAGGGAGGTGTGCACCTGCGGCAATGATCTTCTTGTCTGAGTGCTTCCATTCTCGCTCTAGTTCTCGCTGTGTTCCAGAGAGTGCGCCCTGTATGAGTGTACCTGTCTACTGCTGTCATGCACACGCAATTGGTTTCGCGCAGAAAAACACGCACCCGCATGGCCGAGGCGATCGGTCACCTGAACGCAAACGGCCTGACGGTCTACAAGCGGGCTAACGGCAAATTCTTCTGGATGAATCGCGGCTCGCGCAAAGCGGTGCACGGGAACAGCTTGTGGACGACCGTGGCGGGAGTCCAGATGCGTGGCGCGGCGCGGCGATCGGTGAGGGAGGATCCCGAGGACGAGGACGAGGACGAGGACGAGGACGAGGACGAAGACGAGGACGAGGATGAGGACGAGGACGAGGACGAAGGGCCAACGACGTTGGCGGATCGGAGGCGGTTGGCGAAGCTGTTGTTGGCGGCGTGGGAGGAGGAGGAGGAGGAGGAGGAGGGGGGGGAGGAAAGCGAGGAGGGAGCGACTAGCACAGATCCTAAACGCTTCCGCAAGCAAGTGTCGACCCGGTCTATGACGGCCAAGGTTTGGGAATACCGCGGAGACAAGGACGTCTACCGCCAAATAAGGAAGGACAACCGCAACTTTGGGCCGATAGAGGTCGACCATGTGGTTGAGTGTCAAGTAGTACGCGACGCGTTTGACCGCCTCCGCGCTGACGAACAAGCAAAGCAAGCCATCGTGGTGGGTTTGAGGGACAACTGCGTGAACATCCCAGAAAACCTAAATGCGACCAACAAAGATATCAACCTCGGGAAGATGTGGGCGGTAAGGAAATTATACCTGAAGTCCTACAAGGAAGGTTCGCCAACCAGGTAAACACATCGAGATATCAACCGCTTCCTACTCAAAGGAGATTATGTAGTCTAAGCCACTGTATCTGTAATGCGCCCCCACCCGCAGACTCGACGATTTTCTCAATAAGCGCGGACCACCACAGGGCAAGTGGACGCGCGCGGTCACCGCGCGCATCAGCAAAGTGACCTGGGCTTCGCACGAGACTATTGTCGACAATTTGCCCAATGCAGTTCCCAACTCGGCGTCAGCTGCGGCCGAACCTGTCAATCCTCCAGGACATGGTCGTCAAGATGCGGCTAAAATAAGAGCAGGCAGCCGTATCTCACTTCTCGTTCCTTCTCTCTGCCGGCACCGATTCATCAGTCGCCGTCCTCCACGCCGTCCTCCACGCCGTCTCTGCGGATCTCGTACCTCTAGCGCGTACCTCTAGCACGACTTCGGCGGGAGGGTTGAGCCCCGCGGTACCTAGCCTAGGCAGGCGATCCCTTGGATGCTAAAGAGATACGAGCCGGTTTTTCGCCGACCTGCGCGACCACTTTGGCTCCCCCTTCCACGCCGAAGTAGCGCAGACCCTCGTCGAGAGCAAACCGCGCGAGATGCATGGGTTGACGGGGGGAATCAACCTTCTTTTCGAGCAGTCTTTTGCCGGTTTTCGATAGGCCGACACCCTATAAACTAAAACCTACAAGAATAAAGGTAGCTCTCTATCCTCTAAGCTCTCCTTTCTCGCCTTTGGCTTTGCGAGAATGCGATGAAACCGGAGTGTGCGGAGAAATAAATAAAATGGACACCCTCTACTGTGAGATGGGTAAAAAAAGGTTCAGGTTCGTGCGATCTTTGTGTGTGCCCAGGGTTCGTCTTTTTGTCTGTGTGTGCGGAGAGAGAGAATGTGGTATGTGCGAGCCGTTAAGTGTTACGCGTGAAATGGTGAAAACGTGTTCTCACTCCACCGCCGGCCGCCGGCCACTGTACACTGTTTGAAGCGCCGCCACGGCGGCCGCGACCCGCTCGCGGTCCGCCACCTTTGTCTCAAACTCCGTCTCTCGCCCATGGACCTTTTGAGAGCCCATGTACACCGGGGTCTCGGGCCGGTGCAGCATGGCGCTGCCCTGCACGCAGCGGAGCGAGCCGTGCACCTCGTCCGCGCCCGACGCGGCGGCGATGGACGCGGCGTTGCCCTCGCTCAGCCCGCCGGCGGCGGCGACTGTCAGCCGCCTGCCCGCCGCCGCCACCATCCGCCGGAGGACCGCCGCGCCGGCCGTGGCGTCGGGCGCCCCTCCCGAGGAGAGGACCCGCCTCACGCCGCAGCGGACGCACGCCTCGACCGCCGCCACCGGGTCGGCGGCCACGTCGACCGCGCGGTGAAAGGTGAGAGGCAGAGGCGCCGCAAGCGAGACGAGCTCGCGCAGCACCGGCTCGTCGACGCTGCCGTCGGCGCGGAGGGCGCCGAGGACGACGCCGGCCGCGCCGGCGCGCTTGATCTCGCGGATCTCCTCGCGCATCACCTCGAGCTCCGCCTCGCTGTACAGAAAGTCGCCGCCGCGCGGCCG